CCACCAGTTAGAGTTTTTGACCTAATTAATAAATTGATACATTGAAATGTATATGTATATACATCATGAATTACTAAATTGAAATAATTATCTGATATTATGTTATTTTAGAATATTGGTTTATGCATACATACCACAGATTACCAGCAATAAAAGTAAGATGTTTTGTAAAAGGTAAAATTTGAAGTTCATACATTAAATGAGCAGAAAGAACTGAATCAAATTGACAATGCAAAACAAATTCATATAAATCTTCACATGATTCAAAACATGATTCAATTTTATCAAGTTGAATGTCTTTACGATTATAATTTAAATGAGCTTTGGCAAGTTCTGTTAATGAATAATCTTTTGATTTAACAAGATCCTAGAAATTATAAATATGCCCATAAAAAAATTAATAAATAGAATGCACTTTTTTAAATTAAAAATAAAAAGAATATTGTAAATTTACCTTTGCATTTGTAAAGATATCGCACAATAATCTTCCGCTAACAATACCACCAGTACCAGATTCCATTTTTGGCCAACTTTTTAACAAAACAAAAATTTAACAAAAACATTTAATATTATAACAATATAATGGCACCATTTTTATATTTAAAATGACTTACATGGTTCTACATAATCTCCCAAAACATGACCAATCTTTAATTTCTAGTGTATTTATACGATGTAATAATATATCAAGACCAAATCCCATAAAATTATGTCCGACAAAAATATCAGGATCATGTAATTTAATTAATGCTGCAAAAAAAAAATAAATGAACCTCTATTGATTATAAACAATTAATTATACTTATCAAACAGATAGATAAAATACCTAATAAATAGTTTAGCAAACTATATTCGTTTTTTTCAAGCCTCAACTTTACATTATTTTTATTGATTAAATCTTCAAATCCAGTTGGCCAACATTTTTTATCATCTAATTTCCTGATTGCTGTATATTGAAATGTTGCAGGCTTTGCTGATGAAACCGTGTTTATATCAACTATATAAATATATATATGTATGTATAAATTTAATATTAAAGCAAAAAAATTTGTTTGATGGAGTAATAGTAGTAATAATAATGATTTTTTCTTAATAACCTTCAGGTATGACACCACAACTAAAAGCAACTATTTCATTGACATTTGTTTCATAATTCATAACAGTACGTAAGATCAATGACATTACTGTTAATGGTGGAATAGATGTTGCTTTTGTATCATTAAATGGATTTATGTCTTTTGGATTATAAACATCAAGCTCAACTTTACACCAAGAAAACTATTATCATAATCATCATTATGAACCAGTTAACTAAAATATTAAATCAATCTTATCAAGAGAGAAAAGTTGAATTTTACATACATCTTTTCTCTGCACTATTGCATTTCTAATTTCCAACCAACATGGTCCTTTTATTTTACGTTTTATAAGAAACAACTCCAATGCTGAAGTATTTGTACCAAAAACATGACTAAAAGTGGCCCCAGATAGATTATTTGGAAGTGTTGGATCTATTAAATGAGAAGTTAGTAATTTATACATTGATTTAAATTATATACACTCATATTATACACTTACCACCAAATGAATATTTTACTTTGAGGTAATCTGAATCTGAAGGAATTCCTGGAAGTTCAAAAGCATATTTTCTAGATACAATTTTTGAAGTAAAAGACATTATCTTATGTTTTAAACATATAGATTCAATTTCTTTATGGACATCCTTCATAGTAACTTCAGTATCAGTATCATTCCCTTCTTCTAAAATTGGTTAGTTATGTAAAGATTGCAATTAAATTATAAAACAAAAAATCTACAGAATTTATAAAAATGATAAAAATAAAAACCATCATATTTTCTTGATCTAGGTAATACATAAAGATTTCTTGTGACATTGTTTACACAGACACAACAACTTTTAAATTCATTAACTCCATTAACTCCTTCATCAGATATCTATTTGTAAAAAAAAATTAATATTATTATAATATCAAAAAAAAAGATATGACAATTTATCAATTAAATAAAATATACCTTTCCAAATATAT